GCGAGGTGCGACTAAATACATGAGGGAATAGGGGTAACAGCAGGGGTCGGGGCCAGGTCGAGGTCGGGGCCGATACGAGGGCCTTCCGGAGGTTCTGGGCGACTTGAGATGGAACGATTCATGAGGATCGTTACACTACCCCCCCCTCTGTAGACTGATAGTCCCTATCAGTAGTAATCATAGTACAAAGTATCGCTCTCATGTCCTCTGCCTCCTTGAACCGAAACTGGTCCGATTTGGCTAGGTGTCCTTGCCAAGTATTCCTTCGCACTGCCAGCGGTGTCCTCCAAACCAAACGCCATGCGTGCGCGCCTGCTCTGATAGTGATCTGTAGATGTCCAGCCTGTCACTAATTAAAACTTGCCATTTGTTCCTAGCCATCTGTATAGTTATCAATCTTAGGCGTGCGTTTAGTAAGGTAGCATTAGGTATTGTTAGGGGTGCCTTAAAGGTCTCTTGCTATTAAGGTAGCGGGGATGATTCAAGGCATTGTTAGGGGTGCCTAAAAGGTCCCCTGCCATTGACGTAGCAGGGATAATTCGAGGCATTATTGGGGGTGATTTGGTGGTGGCCCAGCAGTGTTTTGGTGGATCAGCTGCTCAAGCTGTGCTTGTAGTTGAGCATAGATATACTGCTGGGGGGTCGACTCCGAATCGGGTGGGTCTAGCTTCAGGTCCTGCGGACGCAAGTTCAGCTGTTGACGGGGTGGTGGTATGGCTCGGCTAGAGCGTGTTTGACTCTGGGGTCAGGGGGTGGTTGAAAGTCAGGCATTAGCGGTTGTCTCTGATCCTGATAGGTTATTAGTAGTCTCTAAGTTTCTACCTTAGCGCATTCTTTGCAACTTTTCTGAAGGCAATCCTAATCGCATAGGGATAGAAAGTTCTAAACCCAAAGGCTTTAGTTAACTAGAGGTCGATGGGATCCGGTCTATAGACTGAATAGATTGATATAACAGTGTGTGAGTATCGCGACCTAAACTGAATCGGACGCGTCTTAGAGCTTGGACGTAGTCAAACAAACAATTGATGCGATATTGTAACAAGGCCGTCACCGGCGAAAGCGAGTTTTCTGATATAATGTAACAGCGCAGGCAAGACAATGGGTCTGAATGCGGTATAAATCCACTCAGAGGCATATGGGAGTGCGTGGGGACTCAGAGACCTGGGAATACCAATGACACCTATAGGCCTTGTACGTAGGATATCAGAAAACTACCGAGCTAGCTACGGGGGCGAGGTGCGACTAAATACATGAGGGAATAGGGGTAACAGCAGGGGTCGGGGCCAGGTCGAGGTCGGGGCCGATACGAGGGCCTTCCGGAGGTTCCGGGCGACTCGAGATGGAACGATTCATGAGGATCGTTACAGGGACGTCGCAATCGCCCTTATGTCTGCAGCTCAACTAGCAGTTGTCTGAGGACTCTGAGGATCTAGGAGCTATCTCAGACTAGCTCTGTCAGGGATCCTGCAAAATTCTAGGAGATTTAGTCTGCTAGTTATTAAGCTGTAGTTAGGAGGGCGATACTGTTAATCTAAAATTAGGGTATAGATAGGTTAAAGTTCTGCGCGCGTTTAGATTTTACTCTACTAATAATAGTTAGAATTTAGTAAAAAATATACTATTTTATAGCTACAGCTTGTCTCTACATTCCATTAAATTCTAAGCCTATTTAGACATATAGTAGTAGAGATATTGTAAATCTAATTCTATTGTGATGCTCTTAAAATAGGCTTATTTATAGAAAAAATTACAAAAGTCCCTCAGACAGCTGAGGAGAGAAACGCTACTGACAGGGGTCAGAAACCGCTAACCCCTAGGCCATACTCTATTTGGAGTAGCAATATGCATGGTGGTTTGTGCGTCCTCGGTTCTCTCCTCACCACGTCTGAGCTAGCTGAGATAACCCATCATTCACATTTAGCGAAGCGCTACTCCAGATTAGGAAAGACGTCAATTGTCAGGCCATCCATTGGGCGGGTTTGGAGCCGAACCTTCCTGCGATATGACGCGCGCCATCTTACCTCAACAACTCTGGAACATACAAAAAGCCTTCAATTTCTCAAAGCTTTTCCAGCCCGCTTCAATTCACAATCTGATCATTGCCATGCCTTCCCTTCTGGATCTGTCAGCTGAACTCAAATTGACCGTCGTGAAGCATTTGGGCTCAGAAAGGAACAATGATATCCTCAGCATTAGTCGTACTTGCCAAGTACTTCGAGAGCTGGTCGCGCCCTCGCTTTTTAAGAATATTGTACTCCGAAATAACGAAAAAAGCGGGAATTCCGTAAAAGAGATTCGAAGTGGGTCATACAAAGACTTTGTGCGAGCTATCCACTATGAGGGCATGATCAGAGTCCTAGACGGGTGGACCTTACACAATGCGGATGACCAAGCTGAAGAGCCAAAAGAGGAGCATTTCCCAAAATGCGTAGAGGACATTCTTTCAAACCTCAGTCGATTTCCGAAGCTCGAAAAGCTCGTGGTCGAGTTCCCTTGTGATGATGATGATCTCGCTAGAGGTTTCTATAACTTTGACGAGGAGGAAAGTTATGAGCAGGCTGTAGAAGTGGAGAGCGAAGAAGCGTGGCGTGCCCTCATGGCAAAATCGTACGAAGCAGTTGGGCGGAACTCCCAACATTCCATAAAAACGCTCGAACTCCGGGGACTGGTCGCTAGGCAGGCGTCTTCGTGGAATGGTCAAGGGTTCCGAAATTTTCTTGGTGGAATGGAGAGTTTCATCATCTCCATCAAAGGAGGAAATAATGACGTAGGGTGGTGTGTGAATACTCTACAAGGCTACCTCGAGTTCATCACACACCTGGGAAACCACTTCTTTGATCACCTCACCAACGTGACCAGTTTTTCCTTCACTGCGACCGATGAAGGACCACCTGGGCTGGAGGGGTTGAGACATGTACCCCTACCCCTGCTCGCGCACCATATGCCGCATCTCCAGACGCTGGAACTTGGCTGGATTTTTATCAACCCACAACTATTAGAATTCATAAATAGTCACCATGAGACGCTCATATCTATTCGACTCGAACATACTTTCTCCGGAGCTAGCTGTCGTTTGGCGGAAAACGGAATCACGTGGGCTGAATTCTTCAACTCGATACATAGAGCAGGTCCCTCAAAGCTGAAGAGGCTCGAAATCCTTCCCCTTGAATCCCGCCTCAAAGAAGATGAAGAAGATGAGAGTATGAGCCCGGAGGCGGAACGAGTTCAATCAGCCCTTGACCAAAATCCCGAGAAGAGACTGTTTTCATATGCCGGCTTGAGCAGTAAGTATGGAATGCTTTTCGAATATGAAGAGAACAATATTGAGCAGTTCGAGCGTGGTGAAGATCAGAGAGGCTACGACAGGTTGATGTCTCTGATTAAAACGAACATCTAGGATAGCAAATGAAGGTGGCTGGCTAGCGTGGGACGCGAGGTAAGAGGCCTGGGCTCGGGGGTTTCATCAACTTGACCGGGTCGAGTAGTTTGATAGTAGCGGCGTAGTTTGAACAGGAGAAAATAGCCTTGAAGTATCGAGCTCGTTTTGGTAGTTGAGATAACTGTATCGTGCTGTGAAGTACTTTCTCCCTGCCCGTTTTTGCTACTCTGAGCCAGCTCAGCCATGTCCTTGGCTGTTCACTTACATTGCTCTCTCCAAGCGAAGACATTGACCTTGAACAGCCCCATTCCACAGCATGATTTTCTCACAATGCACTTCCCTCAAATCTATATAAGCGCCCTCCACAGCACCAACATTCGAGTCAACTTCCAAGAGCTTCACCGCTTAGACAGTTTTTCTTACTAATCACCTAAAAGAAGCTTCCCTTAAACGATGGACCGTTCAGGATGTGAAGATCTGGGTGGCATGGCGCGAGGCTTGCGAGTTACCATTCCTCGACCCTAGGAGACGAATTCGATAACGAACTACCAGCCAGACTGGTTGGATCGCGGACCATACAGGCTGTACGGAAGGATCCGGGACTTTGCAGTCCTCGGTACTTGATCCAGTTTCATTTCCACCGGGTTGCTGATCCCAGGATAAAGGACTTGTGGTTTTTAGCCGGTTGGAGTGTAGTTTTTGTTGCATTATAATATACCACCGTACTTCAAGCACCAATTCTAGCAAAAGCCATTGGAAGGTTGGAGTGCTCTTCTTTTAGCTTAAGATTTACGATTTATCACTTAAAAGCTTCTTGCCAAGATGTGATAAAATCTAGCTATGTTCACGTCCGAAGTGTAACTCATTGTAGTCATGCCCCAAATGCAGGACTAACGTACCTCCCTGCGTGGCGAGACACCCGGTGTAGCGAGATAAATGGGGGGGTACTTTGACTTTCAGCAACTGGAAAGCCCATGCGCACAATGAATATTCCTATAATTCTATTAAAATAATCTGCTGTAGCTAATCCTAAATGTCCATAATCAACTCTTCCCTAAAATTACGTTTGTATTGTCGCCTCTAAGCTAGATTTATACAGCGCCTTCTTTTATAGCGTAACAGACTTCCCTTCTTACAGCACTAACGTTAAGTCTTTTTTGCTTAGAATTTTTTTTGTAAAACAGCTTTATTCTAGCCTTAAAACCTCCCTCTAATGTTTAGAAGTTATTATTAGCTTATACGCGCTATCGCGGGCAAATTCATGCAGGGTCACCATGTCGATTGGTACTCCCAGCGGAAGCGAGACTCCAATCCTGGCTAATGCAAGATAACCCCGCACATCCTATCTCATCATCTGCGGGTAATTTACTGTAAGATATGTGGCTGTGCAGATTGCACAAGCGGCTTAGAATATAGTTAAATCTAATTCAGGATTAGGAGCAGTGCGACAACTTAAAGGGCTTAGCGCTCTTTTAGTTAGCTAATACGTGTCAGCGTTGAAACTAGCTTTAACACAGCTATCGTAACAACTTCGAGATACAGTCCAACGCACGATGACCTTAATAGCCGCTGATGACATACAGCTCTACACTATCACCTCTCCCTTAAGCCCCTTAAGCCGCTATTGTTCCCTCTGCTGACTAAACAAAAGACGTAATTAAGCCCACCCGTCCTCATACTTCTTGAGCCCACCATAGCTGATTCCTAGACTAAGCAACAGCTGAGAGCTAGTCTTAGCTCGTTAAAGAGAAATCTGATAAGATAGGAGAGGTATAAGCTAAGATAGAGTGCGGCGGCCATAGAAATCGAAGCCTACGCTTCGGCGGGTGGGTTTAGTGTCACTGGCAGAACGCCATCGTTTGCAAGCACCTACGAAGGTAGAAAAGCTCGACATGTTTTGGTGATACAGCTATTATACGGTTAAAAAACTAACAGCTCCTTACATGAGCATTGCAATCTTTAGTATGGTAGAGATACGTCAGTTTGACCTCTGAGGGTTATGAGGAGTTTTGGATCGATTATGTTCGTGAGGGATGAGTACTAGCAGAGCTGTAATAGTGGCTATGCTAGGCAAGGCGCTACGCTATCTAGGGTCGCATGCCACCCTCTTTCATTGGCAATGATCCTTATAATTCTCTCTTCCCAGCGCCATCCATTCCGGATAATCATGGCGTGTGTGTGTGTGTGTCTTCTATTATGGCCATGCACCCTATGGGTATAGGCCGTTACAATGCGCTAGCTATATACAACCTGCTGCTTCACACTTTCTTCATTTCATGAGTCAACCATGAGTCCTGCTCATCCCTTGCCTAACGCCATGCTCAAAGATGATCATGGCAAAGGTGTGGCTGGTGCGGGTCGGCCATCCTCCCTGCTGGCGTCACCAAGGTGTTTTATACCATCCCTCAAGTAGGATCATATTCAGTCTAGTCGTTGCAAATTCGCCCTGTGCTATCGTGTGACGGTTGACTGTCGGCCTCCCGGTACCACTCCGTGGGCTTTGCAATTAACCGCACCCCTCCTGAGCTGAGCCTGTATCGACTCTCCTCACAAAACCAAGGACATTGCAAAGCACGGAAAAATTCATCCACAGAACCCTTGCGCGACTATCCGGCAGAATATATGTATTAGTAAAAGCGCCTCCAAATATAGTCCTGGTTGTCTAGATGCAGAGTCATTTTCATCCCCTTTTATAATACCGGGATTAAGTTCCTCTTAGCCCGGGGTGAAAAGGAGTAGTAGCAAGCACAAAGAGAGGGTAAGTCCACGCCCAAACATGAGGTGGAGAGTAGTTTACACGCCACGGGCGCGATGGGCAGCTTCCCAACGTTGTCTTCTTGTAGCTATTTCCCTCTCTCGAATACTCTTGCGCAGCTCCGAGAGTCTCTCAAGCTCTTGATTTTCTATTTTCCGCAAAAGCAACTCATCCTCAAGCTCTTTCTCTTTGTTATCTTGTGTAGCAGAAGTATCGGCGCTACATCCTGGAAGTGATATTAATATCGCGTCTCAGGTTCTGACATGAAGTCTTACCTTTTGATAGTTTCTCCCTAAGCTTCTTAAGGAAACGCGGTATGTAGACCACGAGATTGAAACCATTACCATATTTGCTTAGGCAAATAATTGTAATCATCGAGTCTGCATAGTTCTGATATATACCAAGGCCGTAGACTATTTCCTGGCCAAGCACGACGTTGAAGGGACAGTCACGAAGAACTTCGAAAATTAGCTGTCGCGTCTCTCGTCCGTCATTTTCGCCAAAGCGCCATGTCCCGCACACCTGGCCGAGGCTCTCTTGGACAGATCCATCCGCGAACTTCAGGCTAGAGTGATTTTCCGATATTTCCCAGCCATTTGCCTCAGCGAACGCAGCTGAGACGATATTCGGTTGAGCCCCGGAGTCCGGCAATGCTAAAACAGGCACCCCGTTAAGATAACCTGCCATTCTCTGAGTCTTGTTATGGTTCCCGATAAGATTGACAACTCGCTGCGTCAACATCTTCCGTTTAGCATAGCGAATGCGTTGCTTATGAACTGACATGGTCCTCGTCTCTTGGAGGAACTTGTTTCCCAAAATAACGTGACGGGAGCATTTGCGCAAGACGTAAAAAACCAAATCGTAACCTCGTTCAGGCTCTGCAGAGAACCTCCACTTTGCCTCCACTTTTCCTAAGGCGCGAGCCGCCTTACCATTCGCCAGTTCAAAAGCTCGGTGATCCTTTTCTGCTAGTATGAAGCCGTGCTTACGAGCGTACCGAAACGACATGAAGTTGGATTCAGCCCCGGTATCAGGAAAGGCTGCAGTCCTGGCCCCATTCAAATCACCGAGGACTTCCGGTTCGATATTCGCTAGATCGTGCCCTGAGACCGTCTGCAGGCGTATAATTGTTTGCTCTATTAGCTTCCCATAGGCCTATTCCGGCATCATTAACTATATATCCAGCAGGAATATGCTCAGCATTCACTTACCTTCTACAACCACGAAGAGAGCGTCGTCAGCCATCCATTTAGCAGAGATATGCTCAGGATTCACTTACCAACTATTACCACCAAGAGAGCGTCGTCAGCTATCCCTTTAGCAGAGATATGCTCAGGATTCACTTACCTTCTACAACCACCAAGAGAGCGTCGTCAGC